ACGCATCCAGACTTGGGGAGAACTTTGTGAATTCACCAGGCCCTGGGTCTTTTTGGCCAAAGCTGAATGGCAAAAGAGGAATCCCCAATGATTACTGAGCTTTTGGAGAAGATGACAAGATCAGTCCAAACCTGGCCTCCATCCCTCATTGGAAGCCTCCCATTTACATATATGAAGCATAGCCATATAGAACTACATAAATGGGGGTGATTATTGAGCAGAGACAACTTGGAATAGTAGAGAAAATGCTGTAAGGAACCATTATCCGTTAAGAGACAGATGGGTGATAGCCTACGTCTATGGAGAAAATTCCCCCCATAACTATTATTAGGCTTACTTCTATCCCTAAGTGTTATCAATTTCTGGTTTGCAAATAAATGAAAAATCAAGAAAACAAACATACCAGTACCCTTTGCAGAACCTTGGTTTTCTTTCTGATCCATGAATCAGTAGCTTTTTGGAGACCCAAAAGAGAATGTACAAAATTTTTAAAGACTATCTTAGGTAGGAATAAAATGAAAAACCAGACTACCTTTCCAGGTTGATTTCTCATTACTTCTCTGCTATATTCTGTATTCCAACTGATCTGGCCTATTTTCTCTTCCCTAAACTAAGCATTCCTTCTCTCACATCCATATCTTTGTACAGCCTAACCCCAGTCTAGAATTTTGTCTCTCTCTCTCTCTTTCAGCCCTCCCCTTCCCGCTTCATCCACACCTCTTAGAATCTGCATAGTCCCTCAAGGCTAAGCTCAGGTGCTACCATCTACACACAGAGACTTACTTCATCCTAGTTATTATGTTCTCTTGCATCAAATCACCATTAAGAAAAAAAAATAAGTATTATAGCTAATATTCATATAGCACTATAAGGTTTACAAAGCTCTCTCTCTAAATATATATATATATTTCTCATTTGATCTTCAGTAACAACTTTGTAAGGTAGGTGCCATTATTATCTCTATTTTACACATGAAAAAATTGAGACTTCAAAAACTTGAGTGACCTAGCCAGGGTCACACAGCTCATTAAGTAGTCGAGGCAGAATTTGAACTCAGGTCTTGCTGACTATAGTTCCAAAACTGTATCCACTATAGCTGCCTCTGCATACATAACTTCTATTAAAATATAAGCTCTTAGAGGGCAGGAATTGATTTTTTGTGTTGGTATCCCCAGTGCTTAGAATGATGCCTTACATATATCAAATGCCTAATAAATGTTTAAGATATTTGGGCAACTAGGTGGTACAGTGGATAGAGCACGAGACTTGGAATCAGGAAGACTCATGTTCCCGAGTTCAAATCTAGTTTCAGGCACTTACTAGTTGTGTGACCTGGGCAAGTCACTTAAACCTGTTTGCCTCAGTTTCCTCATCTGTAAAATAAGCTGGAGAAGGAAATAGCAAACCACTCCAGTATCTTTGCCAAGAAAATCCCAAATGGGATCACAGAGAGTCAGACCTGAATGAAATGACTGAACAACAATAAATAAATGTTTATTGAATTTAAATAAAAACTACTGACTCATTGCTCCCTGAGTAAGAATATGGTACAGTGGAAAAGAACACTGGCCCTAGGGTCAGAGGACCTGAATTCAAATACCACCTGTGACACTTACTACTTCTGTAACCTTGGGAAAATTGCTTAACCTCCCTGGACCTCAGTTTTGTCATGTTAAATGAAGGGGCCCGAGTAGATGACCTCCCTTCCCGCTCCAAATTTACAGTCTTGCCTGCAAGTCAAAGTGCTAGGGAGTGCAAAGATGTCTAATACACAGTCAGAGCCCTCCCGGATCATATGTTGTAGGCTTTAGAGTCAGAGAGGAACCTTAGAGGTCACTTATATATCTTCCTCATTTTAGAGACCAGGAAACAGAGTGAAATGACTTGCTCAAAAATCACATAGGTTGTAAGCAACAGAGCTAGGTATGCAATCCAAATCCTGTTTTCAAATTCAGTGTTATTTGTTAGTGCTATCATTTAAAAAAAAAAGACAACAGTTATATACAGTTACTAACATGGGAAGCTTTTGGTAAAAATATTTAGAATTATGAGTTTAGATTTGGGAATCAAATAGAATCCTTCCTCATTATTCCCACATGTACCCTGAGAGGCTTATGGATGAATGTGCCTGGATCGCACTCCTGCCCAAGAATCCTACTAGTGACTTTTCTTTTATGAGGAGAGAGTGAGGCTGACAACCTCTGCCTCACTTAAATCCAGTTCACAAGCAAGTCAAGACATCACCCTCATGATGTCATTGGTCCTCTTTGGAAATGAAGGATTAGCAACAAGTAGTAAAAAGGGGAAGGAAGGAAGGAAGGAAGGAAGGAAGGAAGGAAGGAAGGAAGGAAGGAAGGAAGGAAGGAAGGAAGGAAGGAAGGAAGGAAGGAAGGAAGGAAGGAAGAAAGGAAGGAAGGAAAGGGGGCAGGAAGGAAGGAAGGAAGGAGGGCAGGAAGGAAGGAAGGAAGGAAGGACAGAAGGAAGGAAGGAAGAAGGGAGGGAGGGAGGGAGGAAGGAAGGGAGGGAGGGAGGGAGGAAGGAAGGAAGGATTAATGTGCAAACATTTTTCTACACAGGACTTTGAATGCAACAACTTGGTATTGTAACAGCAGATCACATGTAGATCTCTGTCCTGCACTCACCCTACACACATAATGTTCTCTTGGCGATACAGGGCCCCATGGTGGGCCGCTGCCTGCAGTATAGTTAGTCCACAGCTACAAGTAAGCTTTTCTTTTGATGTCCTCAGGAAGAGAATCTGAGCCTAGGAGGACTTTTCATGTTTCTAGCAACAGGGCTTGTCTAGGGAAAAGCTGGTTTTGAGGTGTAAAATAAAGAAATCTGAATTTTGTTCTGTTTTGTTGTTGCTTCTTTTTTTCCTTAGGTGAATCTGACATGAGCTACTTTCTTTTTCCTCTGTCACTAATACTGAGAAAAGTCCCTGAACAATTAGACTGTCTCAGGCTACTTCCCAAATTGGATTCACTTCTCATCCCAGTCCTGAGGGAAGGGCTACACTGGGGACCATGACTACACGAGTTCAGTAAATTGGCTGGCTAGCTTCTTGGGAGCTCAGAAGCAAAAATCACTTTCAGAATCACAGCCTCAACCTGTCACCTCCTCCTAGAAGGCGGGAGTTGAAGTTCTCCCCTCCTCCCACGAGGAGGTTGAATCCAGGCACTCTTTCTAGGGAATGTCTTTTTGATTCCTGCTTTTAGAAAGAAAAAACAAAACAAACAATAACAACAACACAATCCTCTTCAGTAACAAGAACCTGTACTACCTAATTCATTCAAAACAAAAAGCTCTCCAAGGTAAACAGCTAAATGAATTAAGCCTTTAGTCTTTTTTTTTTCACATGTATTTTACAAAACACTAATTTGGGATCCTAGATTTCAAGTTAGAAGGGATGTCAGAGGCCATCTAATGTATTCCCCCCCACCCCCATTTTTATAGGTGAAAAATTGAAGTTAAGTAATTTGTCCAAAAGTCACACAAGTGTTAGAGCCTGGATTTGAACCCATATCATCTAACTCCCATCCCAACACACATTCTGCTGTACCATATGATATAAGGATTTTCTTACATAGTCAACTCTCACAATGATATAGCTCATGTTTATAAAGCACTTTACAGTTTACAAAGTGCATGGCTCATATGTACCCTATGAGGTAAGTGGGGTAGGTGATCTTATCCCCGTTTTACAAAGGGAGAAACTGAGGCTCGGGAAAAGTAAGTTTTCAAAAGTCACATAGCTAAGAAATAGCACCCATGTGTCTCCAATCCTGGTCTTCTCACTCTAAAACCATCATGATAACAAAGATAAGCCATTTTTATATTCATAGCAGCTCTTTTTGTGGTGGCAAAGAATTGGAAATTGAGAGGATGCCCATCAATTGAGGAATGGCTGAGCAAGTTGTGGTATATGAATGTAATGAAATACTATCATGCTATAAGAAATGATGAACAGGCTGACCTCAGAAAAACCTGGAAAGACTTCTATGGTCTGATGCTGAGTGAAGTGAGCAGAACCAAGAGGACTTTGTACACAATAATAGCCACGTTATGCGATGACTAATATTGTTAAACTTAACCCTTCTCAGCATGACAAGGATCTAAGACATCTCCAGAGGCCTCAGGATGGAAAATGCTGTCCACACCCAAAGAAAGAACTATGGAAGTCGAATCGCTATCACTTATTTTTACCTTCTGTTGAGTTTTGTTTCATCTTTCTGATGGTTCATCCTATTGGTTTTCATTTTTACTTACAACTTCACTAATGTGAAAATATGTTTAATAGGAATGTATATGTATAGCCTATATCAGATTGTGCGCCATCTTGGGGAGGGTTGGGGGGAGGAAGGGGGAGAAAAATTTTCAACTCAAAAGCATATGGAATCAGTTGTTGATAAATCAAAATAAATTAATAAAATAAAAAAAGATAAGCCATTTTCAATCCCTGTTTGACTTTCTAATGTCCCCATGCTTTGTAATCTTTTCCTAGAATCCAGAGCCACAATTTGCACTGCCTCTCACTCCTCCCCCAACTCTGTAACTATTAACTGTCCTACTAATTAAGGTTCATATTTGGCTTTGAGAGATATTTTTTATATTTGCATTCTCATAGCTATGTCTGATTTAAAAGACCTGCCATGGAACCTAGCACTGGCTCAAAAGGAGTTGACAAGTTATCCTGAAACCCATAGAGTAGATAGGGCCCTGAGTGATCCCTTAACCCAACCTCCTTATTTTACCCATGAAGAAATTGAGTCTCAGAGAGGTTAAATGGCTCCAGTCTTCCAACTCCATTCCAGTTTTCTGTAATAAAGTTTCCTATTTTGTTATTTGGAAAGATGTGTACCTTTATATTGGCCAATGGAAGCATTTGATTTTTTAAAAGCCTGCTGGGAAAACTACTTAGAAAGAGTTGTCACTTTGACCATTACCATAATTTAGAATTAAAAGGAACTTCAAAGACCACTTAATCATACTTCCCCCACCTTACAGAGAGGGAATCCAAGGCCCAGAGAGGTGAGTGCTTCAAGTAGAGAAGGGTTTCTAAGAACCCTTCCAGCTCTGAGAGCCTCTATTTCATGACCATATGTGGTTGAGAGTGTGTTAATAGAGGAAGATTCCAGTGGGGAATTCTAACACTGGCCAATCACAAGGCCTTGATGCACATATAGCTAGTGAGGAGAAAAAGACAGATTAAACTCCAGGTCTCCCTCCCCCTTCATTATACTTTCCACTACACCAAATTGACTGTCTATTCAACTCTTCCCTATTCCATATGCTAGGAGTGCACTCTAGAAAGAGCACTAGAATTTGGAGTACAAAGACCTAGGTTCAAATCTAGCCTCTCACACAGTATGTGTGTGGCCTTGAGGAAAAATCACTGGGTCTCAGTTTCCCTGTAGCAAAATGATGGGGGTTAGACTTGATGACCTCTGAGGTCCTAGCTCTTATTTTAGATCCTCTAATTACCTTTCCTACTATAGCAAACCTTTTTGGTATCTTAGTCAATCAATTAGAGCAAAGTAGAAGGTGGGGCAGAGGGGAGGGAAAGGATAATGCTCGGAAGTCAAGCAAATTGTTTGTTTACCTTCGCACAGACTAAACAACTAGATGATTGGATTTTTTGTTTTTTCATTTTTCTGGTGCTTGTGGTGGTTTCATGCAAACCAGGGTACAGCCGCAACCCCTCACCACCAGAATTGAGAGGTAGGGAACAGATAGAATTCTGTGTTTCACTTTTAAAAGCCTTTCAGTGGCTTTGGTTCTAGAAGGACTCCAAAGAATGGGCAGGTGTATGGGCAGCTGAGGAAGTCAAAGATGGATCAAAAACTGGCTGCCCAAATGCTTTGTAAATAAGCCACGAAGGTATCACCCTTTATGTCATGCTTTGCTGAATCTGGTTTTCCTTATTTGAATCCATCTCAGTTTTTCTGAAGAATCAAGTAATGATTTTGGCCTGTTATACTCAGCTCCAGATCCTCAGTCACATGGCATAAAGTTACACAGACAGCAGCACTTTTATTCTGTAGAGTTGCCAAGGCAACACCAGCTGCTTATGACATCATGGGAGTGAGGGGACACAGAATGATTTTAGAAGCCTAAAATTATCACTCAATCTGCTCAGCCAGATTCTAAAGCAGGGTGGGCAGCACCACCCACAAGTAAGAGCTTAATAAATAGGTTTTTTATGATAAAGATGGTGGTGATGAATTAAAGGCTTTCTTTCAATTCTACAAACAATATTCATTGCATATAACTGCCAGGTTCAAATGTATGTGGAACTCTGAGAACATCCTTGTTTCAGACACAAGTTTACACAGAACCTTTTTCTTCCAAGATTTCCCAAAATGCCAAGTTATATGGAAATTGTTTTTTTTTAATCACTTTAATATTTTTCTTGAAGATTTTTAATTACAAAGCTTTTAAAGTTGTTTGTCATGGGGTTTAGTGACTTGTTCATTATCACATGACTAGTAAATCATGAAGCCAAGACTCAGACTCAGGACTCCTGATTACAAGTCCCCTCACTTTCCTCTAAAATTAATGAAAAGCCTCTACAAAGATAGTTTTAATTTATATCATGGAGCTATGGTCTCCTATCATGGAGCTCAATTATATCATCATAGAACAGAGATAAATATTCATATAACCTTTTTTTAAAAGTTTACAAATGTCACTACAGCACAAGAGACCATGGAATAATCTTTTGATATTTCCATGACTGAGTATTTAGAAAGGTGTAAGAAAAGTGTTCTCTCTTCTGCATCAGGAAATCACTTGGGAACTAAACATTCAGGAAGGTTTGTCTTTGTTTTCCAATCTATGAATAAATAGAAAGTAGATGAAGGCTGATAGAAAAATACTTCTAATCTACTCTATCTTATTGATAAGGCTGTTTGGTTTTTTTTAATTTTACATTTAAATTAAAAGAATCAGGAGACCTGGATTTGAATCCAGCCTCTGCCACTAATGAGTTGTTGTTTTTCTCCCCTGGGGTGGATACTTCCATTTACTGGGCCACTTTCATTCATCTGTAAAGAAGGGGTTGACTAGATGACTCCTAAGTTCCCTTTGTGGTCTATCAGCCCATTATGATTCCAGATAATGCTTAAATATATATTAACCTTATTAATTTTTTATTATTATTTGTTAAATGTATATTAACTTTATTAAAATAAACATACACATTTGTTGCTGTAGAAAGTTACCCAAAATGTGTTCATTGTATTAATTGTCAAAAAAAAAAAGCATTGCTTGTTTTTGGCAACTATCCCAGCAAAAGAATCCCATTCATGAGAGACGTAGTGAAATGGAGAGTTCGTTCATCTCTTAACATGATACAATGGGAAAAATACTGGCTTTGTCTTCAGAAGACCTGGATTTTCTGTATAACCTTAGCCAGAGTCACTTTCTATCCAACTTCTAGTCCTTTTGATAAATAGAAAACAAAATAACATGTAATTTTCTGTAGTAGTAACAAAATTCAACTGAAAAAAATTTGCTTTAAAATAGGATTATCTCCAGAAAAATTAAACTCACTTCTATCTCTGAACATGGCTGAACACACATAAAAATTATACTGTTGCCTCCCACCTCTCAGAAGAGAGGTGATGGACCATAGGTGCAGAGTAAGTCATATGTTTTCAAAATTAGCCAATGTGTGTCGATTTACTTTGCTTGATGCCCTTATTTATAACAAAGGATGATTTTTTTGGAGGTGGGGGAATCATTGGAAAGTGAGAATGAAGTTTAAAAAAGAGGACCATAAAAAAACTTCTAAAGGAAAGTTATACTCTGATTTCATCAGCTTAGAAATTTATTTTCTGACATAGACAAAACCCAGACCTTTCATTATGAGTTGAAATGGCCAAAAAAATTCTGTTACTTAGTAAACAGCCTTTTGGTGATTTGCTTTTGAATTGGCACTTTGATAACTGATGATGATGATGAAAGTTATGATAGCAGCTAAAATGTATATACATATACAGATATAAATATATGTAAAATCTTACATTATATCATTTAATATCTATATTACTATATATAGACACTCATATATAAAATCTTACATTGTCTCATTATATATATATGTATACATATGTATATGTGTGTGTGTGTGTGTGTGTGTATAAAATCTTAGATTATCTCATTTGACCCTCACAATGCCCTCGATAGGAAAATTACATTATACCCATTATACCCATATAAGTAAACCGATACTCAGTTTAAATGATTTGCCCAGGGTCACACAGCTAATAAGAATCTGGGATAGGATTTGAAAACCAAGTCTATTTCCATATCCTTCCTTCCTAGCTTGGTAGACTCTGCTAAGGCTTGGTCACAGCCTCCGACAGCAAAACATTGAGAGCTCCAGGACTCCAAGCCATAATAAGGCATTAGAGAATTTTAGCAAAGAACAAAAAGTATATCCTATAAATTATGGGAATGCACTCTTTAGGGTAGGAGAGGGGGGGAGATATTGATTAATTGAGTTTTTTTAAACTAGTGATTTAAATAAAAACTTGACTTAAATTCACTGTGCTAGAGATATAATACATTTCATTTATCATTTTCTCCTACTAGTAGTGTTTTGTTTGGTGGAAACAGGATCCCAGAACTGGAAGGGGCTAGTCCTTAGTAAAATAATATTAGAGGAAGAAAAAGGGAAGGCTGGCAAATGAAGTACTGTCTTTCTCCCACATGGCTCAAACTTTTGTGGAAGATTATATGTCTGTTTTAAAACATTGGTAAGGTCTGTTTAAATATTTTTTAAGTTATGCTCTGAGATGCATAACTGCAGGTTACACCAAAAAGCAGTTTTGTTTAGAACTCAGTGTCAATGATGGTTACTAAGGGACCACTTGATGCCAATCAATCAGTACACAGGTCTTCCTGAGTCATCAATATGTAGCAAAGCGCCTGAGATGGAGGTGGTAGTTAGAGTGAAAATGAGTAAAAAGGAGAAAAATGTCCTAATTGGAAAATCCAACCACAGGCTTTCCTCATGTTGCTCTATGGTTTTTTCTTTTTTTCAGCTTCTGCCACCTGAGAGACAGCAAGGACTAAAAAAAGGGCACTTGGAAAGGCAAAATGGGGCCTTTCCTCTGATCAGCTATAAACAGACAGCTGGATGTGGGAGCTCTGTCACCAAGGAACAGACCAGAAGCTTGAGTGAAGATGTCAGTAAGGGCTTTTGACATAAAGCCAGCTAGAGGTCCAGGGCTCTGGATGAGCTTTAGGAGCTCTAATGCAGAAAGAATATCAGAGAATCAGAGAATTTCAAAGACGGAAGGGAACTTAGAAAGCTGATTCCATTTGTTCAGGTGCCAAACTAACACCTAGAACAGTGCCAAATAGCTAGCATTTATTTAGCATTTTAAGGTTTGCAAAGTGCTTTATAAATATATCTCATTTTATCCTCACACTCTGGGAGGTAGGTGCTATTATTGTACCTGATTTATAGATGAAGAAACAGAAGCAGAGGTTAAGTGACTTGCCCAGGGTCACAGTGCCTGAGCCCAGATTTAAACTGACTCCAGGTCCAGTGCTTTATTCACTATGCTACCCAGCTTCCTATTATTGAACTGAATTTTATAGATGAGGTCCTGGACAGTTAAATGCCTTGTCCAAAGTCACACAGCAAGTCGGTGGATACCATAAGGACTAGAATTCAAATGTCCTGATTCAAATGTCCAAAATACTTTCTAGCTCATCCTACTCTTTCTAGTTGAAGATAACTTTTGTTGTTCAGTTGTTTTCAGTTGTGGCTGACTCTTCGTGACCCCATTTGGGGTTTTTTTGGCAAAGATACTGGAGTGATTTACCATTTCCTTCTCTAGTTCGTTTCACAAATGAGGAAACTGAGGAAACAAGGTTAAGTGACTTGCCCAGGGTCACACAACTAGAAAATAAGTTCATTCTACTCAAACTTGGAAAGAGGCTTTGATTAAGCAATGACAGGTTAAAGATTACTTAATAAAGTACCTGATTCTACCTAGTCGTTTAAATCTTTCTCTAACTTCTGTAGTATCTATTTATATGGTTATTATGCTAACACTCAACTAAA